AGGCAAGAGAATCACCTAAGCCCAAGAGCTGGAGGTTGCTGTGAGCTGTGATGCCACAGCACTCTACCAAGGGTGACAAAGTGAGACTCTGTCTCTGAAGAAAAGAAAAAAAACCCTTCCAGTGATACTTACCTGGCAGGGGAAATACCATGATCACGAAGGTGGTTTTTCCAGGGTAAGGCTCATTTATTGCACTCCAGACCCCTGTGATTTCCCGAATTGTGGGAAACTCAACTGCATAATTTGTGGTAGTGGTGGACTGTGTTCAGTCCAGACTTAAAACGAAAAACTAAAACCTCCAATGACTTCCCGTGTAATTCAAATAAGATCTAAACTTCATAATCCTAGCAATCTAGGAGACCAACGTGAGAGGATGACTTAAGCTTAGGAGTTCCAGACCAGCTTGAGCAAGAGCAAGACCCAGTCTCTAATAAAAATAGAAAAATTACCCGGGTGCAGTGGCAGGTATCTGTAGTCCCAGCTACTTGGGAGGCTGAGGCAGGAGGATTGCTTGAGCCCAGGAATTTGAGGCTCTGTGAGCTAGGCTGATGCCACAAAACTCTAGCCTGGGCTAGACTCTTGTCTCAGAAAAAACTCCCCCAAACCCCAAAAGGCTGGGGGCAGTGGCTCACACCTGTAATCCTAGCATTCTGGGAGCTGGAAGTAGGTGAATTGCTTGAGTTCAGGAGTTCTTGAAACCAGCCTGAGCAAGAGTGAGACCCCGTCTCTACTAAAAATTGAAAAAACTAGCCAGGTATGCTGGGGCACACCTATAGACCCAGCTACTCAGAAGGCTGAGCCAGGGGGATAGCTTGAGCCAAGAGTTTGAAATTGCTGTGAGCTATAACAGCACAGCACTCTACCCAGGGTGATAGTGAGACTCTGTCTTTAAACAAACAAACAAACAAACTCCTTACCGTGGCTTATAAAGTCCTGCACAATGTGGATTTTTGCCTTCTTTTTCAATTTCAGGCCATCATACTCTCCCCTTTGCTTGCTATGCTGTGGTCACAGTGGCTTCCTTTCTAAGCCACCAAGACACCAGACTCATCCCTTCTTCTGGCTTTTTTCACTTGCGGTCCCCACTATCCAGAAATCTATAGTTCTGCAGATCATTGCGTGGCCAGTCCCTTGTTGCCAGTTAAGCTCAAATGTTACGTCCTCAGAGAAGCCCTTCCTAATTGCCTTAGCTAATGTCGCACCCCCCGCCCAGCACTTTATGCCATTACTATGTTTAATTTTCTTTACAGTATAAATTACTAGATGAAATTATCTTTTTCATTCATTTACTTGACTTTTTTTTAAGAGACGGGGTCTTGCTCTGTCACCCAGGCTGAAATGTAGTGATGTGATCATAGCTCACTGCAGCCTCGAACTCCTGAGCTCAAGCGATCCTTCTGCCTCAGCCTCTCAAAGTGCTGGGATTACAGGTGTGAGCTACAACCCCCCCTCCCATCCCCAAGCCTATTTTTTTTTGAGACCAGCCTGAGCCAGAGCAAGACCTCATCTCTAAAAATAGCTGAGTGTTGTGGTGGGCACCTGTAGTCCCAGCTACTTGGAAAGCTGAGGTAAGAGAATCACTTAAGCCCAGGAGTTTGAGGTTGCTGTGACCTATGAGGCCACAACATTCTACCAAGGGTGACATAGTGAGACTCTATCTCAAAAAAAAAAAAA